TTGTCTTATCCAGGGCTTATAAATCTATACCAATTAAGGAGCTTGAAAAAGCGTGACTTGTCTAAATCGAGATTATTTCCGGAAGTAGACTTAATGCCCCAGCGTTACTGCGATTAGACGATGGAGCAATTTCAGGAGAGCTCGCCATTTTTATCTGCCGTACATTCAGAATAGAAGACAATTTCATCTGTAAAGGAATTGTAGGAGATTTTTCAGTAAGTTTGCTATAAATGTTAAATTGTATAAATGTTTGTTGTAAATGCAAAGCGCATTTTGCCTTCAGATATTAATTTTTTATACTTCAGGATGAGTTTATGTATGTGTTGGGGCAAATTATCGTCGAGCCGCATCAGATATGTGGGCTGCTGTTGGACGGTAGATCGTTTAAGAACTAAGTTGCTTATTCTTCTTCTCTCGTCCATCACAATTTCTGTTTATCAGATTGTGGAAAGTTCATAGATCCGTTCAATTCCACCTGGAGTATCTCTATTCCGAACGGCCAACCGGCCCCTGTAGATAAGAAGCCTGTGCCGGTAAATAAGAAACATGTTCTTTATGAAACGGAGATGTGGTTGCTTTCCAGGGCGGCAAGCCCATTCTGAAAGCCTTGCATTTGACTGACATACATCTGGACATGCTGTACACCCCAGGATTGGAAGCAAAATGTTCAGAACCTCAGTGTTGCAGACCCCAGCAAGATCCTAACGTGAGACTGAAAAAATAAATAACAAAATCAAATCAGTATGGCTGTTGGAAGCGTTCCAATTGTAGGAAGTGTCAATTGCAGCGGATGTGAAGGAAGCAGCAGGTCAGTGGGGTACAGTTGGAAACTGCGATGCGCCCTATTGGCTACTCACGAACATGCTCGCCTTCATTCAGAAGAACCATAAAGATGTTAGACTTGCTTATCAGCTCGAGTTTTTTCCCCACACATAATCTCTTAGCTGGACTACGTCATGGTCTCCGGCGATCTAACATCTCATGCTGACTGGGACTACACACGACAGTCGCACGTGGCCATAGTCAAGAATATTTCAGACACAATCAGATCGTAAGCCCATAAATCTTCAGAATTTCAGTCATCTCTGAAGGCAGCATCTCGCTGAAATGGATGCATGTCAGGTTTTGATTATGCTAGCACTAGACTGTCCAAGTGCAACGTAGCCCCAAGCTCCACAGGCCTATTCATGAGCTTGTTCTGAAAACGGCTATAAACACTCACCATTGACGCTCATTCTATGGAAGTGGGCGGAGCTTGTGGGTTTTTAAAGAGGGTTTTTAGGGCATAGCACACCTATTAAAGGGTATTGTTCGGCCTACAATCTACTTATGGAATCTTTGAACACCAATAAATTCTGGCAAGTGTCCATTTTGCCGAGCCAATGTCTTTAACTACCAAAACGGGTAAATGCAAAGGATGTTGAGCTGAACTTGTAAGTTTTAGTAAATCTAGCCGCAATCAATTTCACTGTCCAGAATGTTCCGACAGAGTGATGATTCCCTACCTTTTCTCGGCTTCTTCGTTTTTTTCCGTTTATGGGCAATGACCTGTGCACTTTAGCACCTCATAACTTGTATATGTGCCACCTTTCTGAAAATAAGCCGTAACCAGAAAACAACTAACAGTGGAGCGAGTGGAAAAAAACCGATCAACGCGAAGTGGTTTCTGTTAACCATTAAAGGCAGCGTCCACCCAAAATTTCGCCCCTCATGT